TCAAAACTCTGTGACCGCTTCATGTCTTGTACTTTTGACGGCGACGTCTCACAATCGTATAGTAGGACAAAACGGAATGCAGTGCACTTGAATATCTCTCTAGTCGGCCTCACAAATGATGCAACTTGACAATTTTTTTCGAACTGAGATTTCATCAACAATCAGCTGATTTGTGCTTATGCAACTTCCCAAGTGGCATAAACAGCGAAAACATCGAGGTTTATGAAGACTTACTGTGGTAAACAAGCAGGTAGACTATCGGTACAAAGAAGCAATCAGTATACAGTAATAGGATTATGTGAATGATAAAAATTGAATTGATTTCTACTACTTTACTTACTCATATTCATCAACTGTTGATGAATAGCCTCTTGCTGATGTTTATGAAGTATGCTACGCCTACACAGTTTCAGTTAACTGGTTATGACATAATTTCTAAGTTTACCGTTTTGATTTCGTCAACTTAAACTTTTATATTTTATTTATTTGTCCCTTGGGTTTCTAATGGAACATAGGGCTTCAGTAGCACATCTCCACTCCACTCTGTTCTCTAAAATCTTTTCAACCTGGCTCCACGACAGTCGAGAAGCTCTCATTTCCTCCTCACAAGATCTCCTCCATGTCACCCTCAGCTGGGACACCCAACTCGTCGCTTCCCATCGGGGTTCCACTCGAGTAACTGGTCTGACGCGTGATGTCCCCAGTCGGCCTTCTCAGTGTATGCCCAATCCAATCCATCTCCACTTCCTTCTGCATATTTATTAAGCAATAGGTTCTTGGTTGGTTCGTTGCCAACTTAAACTTCATCAGAACTTAATCCAGTTATAATCATAACTATCTCAAGATGGAGAGGGAGCTTAGCATACCTGATGCAAATTTAACAAGTGAATGTTTATAACCTCATCAACTATTTAATCCCCCTTCGTTTGAATGAAGCTAAAGACATAGCCTCAGAATTGATCATTCAATTATGACATCAGAAATGAGCAGCTTAAAGAAGGTACTTGAGATGAAACACCTACAACAGACTGGTATTACTGTTACAGAGCGATGATTAAGGGTGAAGTAAAAACCTGGGTAACTTCAGGGTTCTAGCCAGTCGCCTGAGGATTGCCATCTTGATGTCCTAATGATCCAGCTTCGAAATCTAACTGCTGATCATATCATAACTTTACTTCAGTCACTGAGAGGTTTCGCTTAACTGCCATTAACAATCCATGATTAATCATTGTTCATTCATCATAATCTCACTGACGTCCAAGACTTCTTGTTCCAAACTAAATCAGACTGAGTTATAGAAAAGGAGCATTATACTGATTATCATCGAAACTATCAAATTTTCACTTCACCTTCAGTCATCACCTCATAGCAATAAATATATTTGAAAGTCATTTGAATGTACAAAGAATATTCTTTTCGATAACTTCTTCTTCTACACCTCCTACAGTTATATGTGTATACTAAGGAATTATATGTCGACATTACTGAGACTTCATCTATCAGTTTGTTGTTAATAGTATTAAACAGTTGAGGAAGTCAATTCAGAAAAGTTTTGTGTCATCGTTAATGATAGAATCAATTGTTACTGGGATCCAATTTAAAAATAACCGAATGCCATAAGTTGATAGTGTAAGAAAACAACAGGAAGGTGTTTATGACAGTTGAATGAAATAGACTGACGAAGATAATTTAAGGAATAACAGAAAGATAGAATGTTACCCAAATTAAGGGATACAATAGGTTAAGAGAATTTCTTAGAGTTATTTCAGACTATAGGGGTGAAGAGGGAATCAATAGTATGGAATTCGATTACCTGGGACAGGATGCTAACGACTTTTTGCGTCCCAAGTCGCATCACAGTAGTTGCATCAGTAAGACTTACTTCTTTTAGTCATACAACTCAGGTTGTTTGATCCTGGTTACTATTGCTTCTGCTGTTTGAAGGATCCTCAACCGAGTACCTCTTAACAAGTTGATGGAAATTAAAGTAACGTCTGCCATTAGCAACCTTCGAATAGCACACAACAGAGATTTAAAGACACCATTTGAAACGTAAGGATTTTCAGCATTTAAATCACCGTGTTACTGTTATCACGAACGGTATAAAATATTCAGTTAGTTAATTTACAATTAAATAAGATATATACTACTGATTAACTAACAGAATTAGTATATTTCGAATAATGTTATTGAAAGTTATTAAAGGTAATTTATTGATCAGCGGAAAAAAAATGAAAACTATCCTTTCCGTAAATGTTTTTTTACTTTCATAGTCATCAAAAACGGAAGGTGTTAAACAGAAAGGAACAGAAATTGTGTGTAAACAATGCACATTCATAAATGTTATTTACCTCTTTTTGCCTTTCAATAAGAGCAAATAAATATTCTAGGGGGTTGAGAGAAAGATGTAAAAACTTAGTACATCTTGTTACAGTATATGTCATCAGCATAATAAGACTGAGTAAATCAGTTTCTAACAATAAAATAGATGAAATAATACTTATCTATCTTCATCAACTGATTATCTTTGAGAACACTGGGACCAACGTAACTCATACTTATCCTCAATGTCAACGAGATATACTACTGAACAAACTGAGTACTTGAGTGCCATTCTCACATAGATCTGTAGCATTTCATCAGCAGTCCATATCAGAATGATCAAAATACTGGAATGCTGTTTCTCACGTTTGTTGTTGAGTTGACCAGTTGACTAGTTATTCAACTACCCAACATTGGTGTCAATAGAGTTTCTGATGGCAACCACCCAGCCAAGATGATAGAAACCACGTTGAAGTCACAGTTGGGTAGTTGAAAAACTGCTCAACTACGAGAAATATCAACGTGGGTCGTGCAATTTGTAAATTATTTGCAAACTGATAATCCTATTTAATACTCAGTGTTTTGCTTATGAAAAACATAAGTTACGTATTATACTATAAGTGGTAGTTTTTTATTAATCAAACTTTTATGCACTAATTCAATCCTTGTCCTTAATTCTCATGAGCTGATGAGTAGTGGAGTCGTACGAAATATATGTGTGATGGTATTGACTGAAACATAGCAAAACAAGGCCATAAATTGCAGCAGATACAACTCGCTATACAAATATATATATATTTCTGTGTGCGATTTCGACGACATGTTTTACGGTTTCCACGAACTGCAAGTGCTCAAAGTAAGTTAATCCACCTCATTCGATCAAGGTTTTCGGTAATGAAGAAAGCAAAAAAGGGCATCATGCCAACTATTTAAACCCTAAAAAAATACTCTAATATGCTAGTTAAATAAATATTAAATATCAAATAAGTAACCTTCCATGAAAATGAAATCTACTTAATTATTTATCCTAGCCTATTATTACAATTTGACTATCCAACATAATTTTGTTGCAAATTACAGCACTTAGCGCACAGTTCTTCTTTTCACGTAAATATTTATCTCCGTTATTAGATTCATTTATTTGATTTATGACACACAGTGTGATACAGTATTATTAACTCAATGACTCTCTGAGCATAAATTATTTATTGCTCATAATCATATCACAGTGTAGTCACACAGCAATTTTGGCGTCTGATTTTTATAGTTCTACCACCGATCTCATATTCTATGTTTTTATTGGTAGTAAACATTTCCAAGTAATTCACAATGGGAAGCTCAGTGATGAATTTGAAGTGAAGACAAGAGTGAAACAAGATTGCCTACTATCCCCCATGATATTCCTGATTGTGGTCGACTGGATCATGCAGCAAACAGTGGGGAGCGAGAAGAGGGGGATACACTGGACTGCGGAAAAGAACCTAGAAGATCTGGATTTTGCCGATGACTTGTGTCTGATGTCGCACAAACTGGAAGATCTACAGGCAAAAACTAACAAGTTGATAGAAGAGGCAGCGAAGATGGGACTTCAAGTGGATATAGAGAAGGCAGAAGTGATTAAGATACCGCACCACCACCACCAACAAACTCCAATCACCATCAACGGGAGAAACTTAAAGGAAGTAACCTCCTTCACCTATCTAGGAAGCACTGTTTCAACTACAGGCGGCACAGGCACAGACGAGGATGTCAAAGTCAGAATCGGAAAAGCAAGACAGGTGTTCATCAGCTGAAACCAGTGTGGAGATCTTATGCACTCAGCATGCGGAACAACATCCGGATTTTCAACACCAACGTCAAGTCAGTGCTTCTATATGGTTCAGAGACTTGGAGCGTCACGAAAGGGATTTCCAATAAACTACAGACATTCATCAACAACTGCTTACGCTGGCTCGCTACTGAAGAGCAGATGGCCAGAAAGAATAAGCAACAAGGAGCTCTGAAAACGAACCAACCAAGAACCTATCACGCAACAAATATGCAGGAGGAAGTGGAGATGGATTTGGCATGCACTGAGAAGGCCGACTGAGGACACCACGCGTCAGGCCAGCCAGTCCCTCGAGTGGAATCCCCATGGGAAGCGACGAATTGGACGTCCGAGGGTGACATGGAGGAGGTCGTGCGAGGAAGAAATGAGAGCTTCTGGGCTGTCGTGGAATCAGGTTCAAAAGATTTCAGAGAAGAGAGTGGAGTGGAGGCGTGCAACTGAAGCCCTATGTTCCACTAGGAACCCAAGGGACTAATAATAATAATAAAAAATTTCCATATCTGTGGTATAAGTGTTGCATCATTCCTATTACATGTGTTAGGTGTTGGTTGATTCGATGAACAAACATTCAGTAATCAATTTCTCTCTCTCCACCTAATTATGTTGTTGGATCTCAATACAGTGGTTTTGTTTCATCATATTGTATGGTTATGTGTTCATGCATGTAATGCAATAGCAGAGTATTCTTCTAGATTATTGATCTTGTTCGCGTCTGTTATTCTATGTTTAGCTAAATTCTTAGGTTGCGCTATTCTAACTGACACCGCTTGACTAGTTCGACCTATGTATTTGATCTAGCAGCCATTACATGGAATTTGACAGATTAAATTATTTTGCTTTCGTATCTTCAAGCTAGGCGACAAGGCTTTTCTTTGAGTGAGTTTGTAAGTTTAAACCATACCCCAATTCCAGCTTTGTTGATGTTTCTGATGTTCCTTCCTTATAGGGTAACACAATGGAAGCTGTGAACTCCTTTCTACTCGTGTTGTCGTTATTATTTTGTTTCTTGTATTTGTACGAATTTCCTAATAAAATGTAGAGGATAACTATTAACTATAAGCGATTCTTTTATATACTTTAGTCCCTTGTTTAGGTCCTTCCACTGACTAGTCAGTTTTCTAGCTCTATCATTTAGACATTTGACTAAACCTGCCTTAACTGACATTGGATGAGATGACTTGAGGTCTAGATATCGACACATTCTCACAGGTATCTAGACTTCAACTCTGTCACAACCAATCTCGGATAAGCTTTGCAGGCTGGCTTAAGCATTAGATAGAACCAATTGAGCAAAATAATCTAGTCTGTCAAATTTCATGCCAAATACGTGATGACAGACCCGAATAGGATCAATAATCTAGAAAAAAAACTCAGTTATTGCAGTATAAGCATTAACACACAACCACACAATACGATGGGTGGGAGTCGAAAGTAGTGTGATTATATTGGTATGATTATGTCACATAGTTGATTATGTAAACGTCATCTAGTAAATAATACGGTATCATTCACTGTGGAATTACATTCTATCACACTGCCTAAGTTTTACACTTATAAAACCATTTATCTATATTGTAGTATATCTCTTTCGAATAAACACGATGAGAGATTCTGTGCTAGTTACCTTTCATATCATTATTTACTGTACGTGCTCATGCGTATTGTTGAATGCTGAATGGAAAATTTTTATAACTCTTATTGGCTCTCGATTTAGACAGTACATGTTCAGTACTAAATCTATTAAGTAGTGAGTTATGTGAGGAACTTTTATGTATCCAATTCTTTGGTTTTCGCTAAATTAAGTAATACAGTTTGATTGGAAATAGAGAATGCTACCACTCAGACCTGTGAATACGAAAACGTATGTCGTATTAAAATGCCCAAATTATCAATTGACAATGAAGACCTCATTATTGTCATGCAATTAGATGAGATTCTTCGAAGTTCTAATGTGAAGTCGTGGCCGGTGGGGGGAAACCATGAGAACATGAAAACAAATACTGAACCATAATACTAGGTGAAGGTCGCACTGTATTATCAGGTGACAAAAGTAGGGAAATGTAAACCATTGTGTTCCGACACAGTGGGTCCATGTTGACCTACTGTACTGGAAACTGGAAAGATCTTGGGCTCGACCCCTGAAGGGGTCTGTCCAAATTTCTCACGTTTTTATTGTTTCTCAAGTTGATGTCAATTCTTGACATATCTCAACTTGAAGTCAATGAAATTCCCAAAACCTTCAAAAAAAAAAGAATGAAGCAATAAGTCTGTTGAATACTTTTAGATTTACAAATTTTTAACGGTATTCTGATCCAAAAAAACAGTACATTTATCTTTCTCTGAGCAATGATGTTTATCTCCAAAGGGTTTTATCAACAGGCTAGAAATTGTCATTAGGATTTATTTCTTTATGAATTGACTGTTAATAGAGTAGGGCTCACTTGTGAATTGTATAGTTTGTAAATATTTTGCAGATTAATTATTCTATTTCTGGAAAATATTATTATCTAATTAAAATGAATGTTAAAAAGTTAATTAAAAACGCATATACAATTAACTCACCTGAACAGCTTGTCTGTATAGTGTTGTCTTTTTATATTCTGTGTTATTTGTACTACTATTATTGCTGTCATTATGATTTAAAGGTATTGACTTTGTTGAAATTCCACTTTGAACTTTCGTCGATTTATTCTTCTTCTTATGATTACTACTATCATTATCTTGAAGTGATTTCGATGTAGACGGATTGAATAGACCTTTATCTGATTGTTTTCTAACCAAAGTGTTTGATTTATCTTCAACATCGGATAACCAGTCAAGATTATTATTTGAACTATTAGTGTTATTACTATTATCATTACTATTTAAGCCTGTAATTGACATTTGTCTCAATATTTGTATACCTGATGGATTATTAGACGATTGATCTATAGTAGTTCGTGATGTCTTATGATTACGTGTAAAAACACGTGTTAAGCGATTGGAACCCATTATATCAGTTGTAACATTGAAAACTCTACGTTTTTCTCGTTTAGGTGTCAATCCAATAGGATTATTTGATGTTAGATCAATGTTCTTGCTAACTAGATTGAGAGATTCAGTTTCATGAATATTATTTGTTTTGGTGCAATTTGGTAAATATACAGGAAGAGATGGAGGTGATGATGGAGATGTTAGAATTTTGTTATTATTATTATTATTGTCATGATTTGCATTCATTAGATTCCCAGTCACTGTTGAATGACAACTAACGTCATTCGATGATGAATGTGTCAAGGATAGATAACTTCCATTTATTGCACTATTCGATGTCATACTACGTTGCATTGTATTGACTGAACAATTTGGTCGACTAACACTACGACGTCGAAAGATTTTATGCCTAATATTTTATTAAAATATAAAATATAATGAAAATAAATTAAATTACAATGAAACAAAGAGATATTTTAGAAAAAGCAAACTAAAATCCATTCATAGGTGGAATCATTATTATTAGATAGCATTGAAAAGTCTTCAATTGAAAAATGATATCAATGAAAATAAATAATACACCTTTCATTGAATTTTATTAACAGTATCAACCTATAAAAACAATAGGAATTCACATTGACTTTTTTTCAACTGTCTAAGTTAATCTCTAAACTAATAGATTTAATTCTATTTGCTACTGTTATCATTAGCCTCCTTTATGTATACTGAAAAGTCGATTGTACTGTGATTACTTGACACGCCTACAGTTTTATATCGGAAATCAATCTCACTATGTTTAAGACAATCAACAGTGAACCAAAATAGACTTGTGTAATGTTTATCATCTCCATGGAGACTTCAGATAGTCCTGTTATTTCAACATCACAAGAAAAGCGTAAAACTTTTGAATATATTACAGTAAAACTTTTAATGGTCAGCAACAAACAGATTTATAATTAGTCTTGAAAATTTTCAATGTCAACCTTTTAGATTGATTAGTATTGCATAACTTTTATTTTCTAAGTTTTGACCTACATTGATTGTTTAAAAAGGTCTGGAATACCATAGTGTTCCCATTCTACTATTATTAAGGTTATATTCATCATGGACTGCCATCAATTGAAGAACCATTAGGGACCTTACAGGTGTTTTGTCCTAGTATGAGACTCCTCAGCAGTATGCATCAACGATCTCACTTCGCCAGGGACGTCCAGGTTTCACGGTAAACGCATTAGGCATTCTGTTGGCGCTTGTTTCACTTCTGGCTAGCTGACCCCCAACAGAACTTTGAGATACCCCTCTTAAAGCATATCAATATTGAGCACTATGCATTGTTCAAACCTCAAACCCCATTCTTCTTCTTATTATTGCCTGGATATTTACTGTTTGGGTACTTTATTTCCTTGTTATCACAGACTAAAAATGTCACGGCGATTGGTCACATAGAAAATAATATTTTTCACTGATATTTCTTCTTCTAAACTTACACGTAACGCATCAAAACGTTTTTCCAAAAAAAGCTTCTTTACCAATGGAAGATCAGTTTTGAAACAAAGTCAATACATACATCAGATTGCGGAAGTAAAAACAGCCTAACAACGCATTCTGTGGTAATTCCGGATTGACTTGATAAACCTTTGTTAACATATGATCTCTCATCCGGATGTAACCCAATATTGCCTGATTATTGACTATATCGCAGTTCGCCTAGTGAAGGGGTTAGAAGGGGAACTCGGAGTGAGTTTCGTCCTATCTGAGACCCATCAGCCGCAATCAGCACAAGAGATAGGCCTCGAGCCTTAGTGGATAATGCTTTGGTGTTTGAAGCGACAGGTACTTGGTTCGAGTCCCACTGGGAAGAACATCACTGATTGCGGTGCAGGTAAATCTACCTGAAAAGTCCTAAACAAAACGAAACGCATGTCCTGGACTTCACTGTTAAACACCATCAAAACACGTTGAAAAAATTTAGGTCATACAGACAAATGCTGAACTGATGCAACTGATGCCACCTTTTTAAGTTGATTAGTACAGCAGTTGTGCAAGTTAAGGCTTTAAAAAAACTTTGGGCTAGTAGTCATCATGGTGTCATTATGAGATTGATGCGTTGTCGTTTCAATGTTACATAAAACCTTGCTGAATGGGCATGAAAGTTATCAAGTTGGAAATGGATTAAAAGTTGCAATTCAAATATTGACTGAAGTCACAAATCGTATGAAGCGCTAGAAACCCGAGCTTTTTTTGTCATTCCATTCCTACTTTTTGCTAGAACTAGCTATTCGTTTTTTCGCCGATGATTTACGTCTAATCTCGCCTTAGCTCGAAGATCTACAGGTGAAAACTAACAAGTTGGCAGAAGAGAAAGGGCAGCAAAGATGGGACTTTCTTCACGTGAACGCAGAGAAGACAGGGGTGATGAACGTACCCAGCCGACAACAACAACAAGCCCCAATCACAGCCAACGGGAGAAATCTAAAGCAAGTTGTCTCTTTCTCCTACCTAGGCAGGCAGCATCGTTTCAACTACAGGTGGTGGCACAGAAGAGGATTTGAAGGCAGACAGGATCGAAAAGACGGCAAGACAGGCCTTCCTTCATCAATCTGAAATCAGTGTGGAGATCTACCGCACTGCACTGCACTCAGCATAAAGCGTGAACAAGATCCAGATTTTCAATACTAATTCAGTCAAGTAAGTCAGTGCTTCTATGTGAAGGATGAGACACTTGGCGTGTGACGCAAAGCATATGCAACAAACTGTAGACAAACATCCTCAAGGGCTGCCGTCTACCCTCACTCGATACTCAAGATCCGATGAGATGGCCAGAAAGAATAAGCAACAAGGAGCTCTGACGTGGAAACGAACCAGCCAACCAACCAGGAACCTACCACCCAACAAATATGCAGAAGAAAAAGGAGATGGATTGGACATACACTGAGAAGACCACTTGAGGACATGACGCAAAAGGCCAGGCCGTCAGGTTGGACCGAAATGGTAAACGACGAGTTGGGCGTCTGAGAGTGACATAGAGGAGATCTCGTGAAGAAGAAATGAAAGCTTATTTGCAGACATGGATCCGGGCTGAAGAAAAAGACTGAAGAGAAGAGAGTGAAATGGTGATGTGCTACTGAAGCCCTATGTTCCACTAGGAACGTAAGGGACGAATTATAAATAATAAATTATCCGTTAGACAGTATTCTCTGTAAGAAGTTAATCAATATCTTGTAAATCTTTTACGAAGGTACTTTGGATAGATTCATAGTACATTGTCATACGCTTCTATTACTAAGAGCTAATGAGGAGGCTAGACAGACTTTTCAATTTATTGTGACGTTCTACAATCCACTGTTGGTAGCCTTCTGAAGATAGTTATGAGGGCAAAACCCAAAGGTAGTGTACATCTATCTTTCGATGAAAGACCTCTAAACTTTTTGAGCAATAATCTGTAGATTAAACACGTCAAAAACTATCAGTTGGGGATCAGTATTCGAAAGTATGGCGATTACTTAGAACTATATGAATGTGGAGTTTATTTTACTTGCACTGACAGCTGACGGTAACCGCCAAACTACTCGAAAAGTTTGTGTATTTGGATTTTGTGGATATGTTCATGAAGACATGCCATATTAAATAGATTTTCTTGTGGTAAAGGTCCAAAAGAATTAAAATGTTTTACTTTAGACCACTTTTGGCTTGTAATGAACATTATTTTGATTGTAAAACATGAGAATTCAAGAAGTTATACCATACCGCTGAAAAACTTGTATCCCTCTCTTACATGAGAAGTATAGTTTATCTATGATTCTGATCATTAATAATTTCCATAAGAGTGACACCATGTGAATTATACTGGAATCTACTTATATTTATCTGGGCTTAAAAGAGAAATATGAATACTTTTCATAATGAGTTTCACTTATCATAGCGCTGATTTGCTGCAGCAAGTATTGAGATAATCAGTGAATGAAGCATTTGCATACAGCTCAGAATACCTACAATGTATGAGAGTTTGTTAATGTATCCTGATTATTTGAATATGACGCGGAAGGTTGTATGGTTAAATGGCTTATAAAAGTATCAAATATGGAGCTCAAAACCGAAGTCATTGATGGTCATTTCATACCGTACTTTTTTCTCACGTTAACTGTAAGACGAAAATAAGGAGACAAAAGAAATATAGTTTGGAGGTTTGTGGGAACTTATTGACTCCAAGTCGGTATTCATCATGAACTGATATCAACTGGAGGGACTTTTGAAACCTGGCAGGACTGGACAGCTATTTCATCCCACTAATGTGGGGCTCCTCAGCAGTCTGCGTCCGTGAACCCACCTCACCATGGATCGAACCCAGGACCTTCACGTTCCGTGGTTAGCACGTTACCATTGAGTCACTAAATCGGAATCCAATGGTCCATATTTCCTACTTTTGTCAGTTCGCGGTATAGCACGACCACCACTCAATATCATCGTTGAGTATTTGTCCTCACGTCCACCAGGTTTGCCCCACTGGTCATGACTTCTCATTGGAACTTCAAGAATCACTTCTCGAAGCTAGTCATCAGTGAGCAGTAGAATAATTCAATTTTGGGGTTTGTGTTGACTTATTGATTTCAAGCTGTATTCATCATACTAGGACGAAACAGCTGTACAGTAATCCCAGGTTGCCACTGTTCCTACAATTGATCTCAGTTCATGATGAATACCAATAAAAGAAATAGGAATTAAGTCTCCGGTAATTCCTGAACAGCTGTTTCCTTGATCATTATCATTATTACCATCATTGTATTTCATCTCAAATCTGCAGTAATAGCATCCTAGTTTGTTCGGCATACTTCTCAGCTTTCACTAGACCAGATGGTTTTGTTTTGAAACAGAATAGTCCAATACTAATGATGGGTGATAACTACTAGGATTTATCGTTTCTGATGAATCAGAAATCCCTACTGGGTTGCTGACTTACATTAACTTCACGTTGTGTAGCCGGTTATCATCCAATTTATTAAATGTTATGCATTTCATAAACCTGAAGATCTAAATGACTTAAGTTAATGTCTAAAGTGATACACTGACAAGGTAAAAGGGAAATCAGAGTGACAATTTAAGCTTGTCGACTGTTGAAGTAGTTTGCTTCATAAAACAGTTCTGATTTATGCGACTAATGGAAAGTTAGAATAATGCTGTTGTCCTGTGCTCTACCAACTGAACTACAGTGCCTGACTGTTAACCAGATTTTTATTTCAGTTCAGTCATCAAGGGTTTTGCCTGACTACCATGTGAATTTGTGACGCATTACCACCTCGGGATCGTATATACACAGGTTGATCAGTCATTCATATCAAAAACTATGATGAATAGTGAAGATTGATCAGAATACGACTGAAGTTGCATAAGGATTACTAGATTTGGATAGGT